ACAGCTGGTCGCAGCAAGCAGCAGCGCACCTGGAGCGCCCACTTGTTGCCCCACTGCAGGGTGGGGGGAAGGAGGGGCGGGGAGGCAGGGGAGGGGGGGCGGTGGGCTGACGTGGTGAGGGAGCGATGGGGGTCCCGTGGCGGCGGTGGGACAGGGGCCGGGCAAGGCCTGCTGGATGCATGTGGCGAGCGCCCTAGTAGATGAAAAGCCCATGCTGCTGCCACCCACCTCGTCGGTCACTGAATAGAAGAAATCCCACTCGTCGCTGGGGCCGTAATAGTAGCTGCAGACACCGAGGAGGAGAGCAGGGAGGAGGGGGTTGCCGTGTCGGGACGTGGGGGAGGTGGCCTGGTGGTGTTGGGCTGGCAGCCAGCGGGTGGCACCTCAGCCCAGCGCGGAGCAGCAAACGGCAGCGCAGGGCAAGGGGCAGGCAGCCGTGAGGGGGAGCAGACGGGGGGGAGGCCCCCCGGCCTCACTCACTTCTTGCAGGTCTGAGTGACCGTCAAGGCGACATTGCCGGGGGGTGGGGTGGGGTTGGTGAAGAAGTTGACTGCGTCGGGGGTGGGGTAGCTTCCAAAGCAGTTGAGCAGGGCGAACTCCAGCCACTCGATGTCCCACCTATGCGGGGGCGAGGGGGGAAAGGAGAGAAGTGAGAGGCGGGGGAGGGAGCGAGGGGCGGCAGTGCTCAGGGAGAAGGTGAAGGTCGCTGTGGATAGGTGCCCATCCCCCTGACTTGTTGCGGTCGCACAGCGCACAGCGCGTCAGCCCGCGCAGGCATGCATTGGATGCCTCCGGCTGGCGGGCCAATGTGGCAAGACAGGTGCGTCGTGCGAAGCTTTCAGGCAGGTGGGCGGGAGGGCGGCCCTGGTGTGTGTGGTGCTCATGCGCCCCCCAACCCTCCACCCCTCGCTCACTCCTCGATGTACACGTTGCACTCCTCGCCCTGGCAGTCCTCGGGGGCGGTGGGGGAGCGGGCGATGCAGGTTTGCAGCCAGCCGGGCGCGCGTGTGTCGGCGGCGGTGAGGCTGTAGGGGAAGGGCAGCGGGTCAGGGACATCGCTGGACAGGGCGTCGGCCTCGTACTGGGTGAAGTTGAGCAACTGCAGCGTGATTGTTTTTTGGGCGGGGGTCAGTGGGGCAGAGGTTTGGGAGCTGGCCGGGCCAGCGGCGGGAGGGGCGGACAGCGTGCTGCTGCTGCGGCGGCGGCGGCAGCTGCCTTGGTACCGCGGGATCTCCGCGCAGTTTCAGGCGTCATGCAGGGTGAGCGCGGTGGGGGGCGAAGCGGGGGAAGCGGCGGGGCGACATGGGATTGGGGTTGTGACCGCCCGCAGACCGGGGGGCCTCACGTCAGTCATCTCGATCCACTGCGCGGGCATGCCACTGCCGCTGGGGGTGCAATTTGCGGCCATGGGCACGCCCGTCCCGATATCAGCGAAGTCCCATGGCATCGACTGGGCCATGGCGCACGCCAGGAGGCAGGAGAGGGCCAGCAGGCGAGTGCGCATGGAGGCAGACATGGTGGGGAGCGGATCAGGGAGCGAGTGTGGACGACAAAGGCCGGGAGGGGGTTGTCGTTCATGCTCCGGAACGTAAAGTTACGTTCCCAGCGAAATTTCTCTCCCAATCGGCGGTTGCCCCTCCCGACCTGCCCCCCGGCAATCTGCAGGGGTTATGGCGCGAGCAGGGCGCGACCAAGCGTCGCTGACTGCAGGTTGCGGCGGCGGCAACATCCGCTGACGGCAGCAAAGGAAGGGGAAGCGCTTCTGCAGCGCTTTAAAACAGGGCAGGGGGATGAATTGCAGGCATAAGAAGCGGCCGCCAGCAGCTGCAGCATTGCTAGCAGCGGGGGGCAAGCGGCGTTTGTCGTTGCCCGCGCCCAGTGGGCACCGCTGCCCGCTCCCCTAGCAGGGCCTGCTTGACTAGCGCCGGACAATCCTCTCATCAGTTCTGAAGATGGCCTGCTAACACTGAATACAGCTGCCAGCTCGTTAAACTTAGTTGTTGTTGGCCTCTCTGTCACCCCTCTCTCGGTGGCCAGGCAGCGGCGTCCTGCGCATGTGTACTGCAGGGGTCGGTGCGCCCCATGTCGGGCTGGGGGAGCCCTCCAGCATCAATCCACGCCTACAGAAGGCCTAGAACCGGCCGCAGATGACTCCATTTGACAGCTTGCACACTTGAAACGCGCCGATCCCCGGCCACAGACAGCTGGGACGGGCGCAGCAATGGCCGACGAGGCCCAGGTGCTGCAGGAGGCAGCCAAGCTCCCCCTGGCAGACCAACTAGCGCACAGCAGCTGGAAGGTGAGGGCGCAGGCCCTGACCACCGTGCAGCAGAAGGTGACGCGCGCCTTCACCTGCGAGGATGACATCTTCGGGGAGGCAGGTGAGGAGCCGCCGCTCGTGCCGCCTGCGCCGCCGCCGCCGCCTGCCGCCAGCTGCCGCCCGCGCACCCAGGTGCCCACGCCCCTGCTCTCGCCGCACCGCAGGCCCGCTGCTGGCCAAGGCTGTGGGGGACTCCAACGCCAACGTTATGGACAAGGCCGTGGAGACGCTGGTGACCTATTTGGAAAAGGCTGACGAGGCGCTGGCGGCGCGGTGCGTCAGCTGGGTGCTGGATGCGTCGGTTGCCAACCGCCTCGGCTGCGGCACGCCCGCCGCTGGGCCATGCCTGCAGCCTTCCAGGGAGCTGGCCCGGGCTTTTCCACTGCGATGGTTGTCGTCTGCCTTATCGATCGCCTGCGCCCGCATCAGTACCAAGGCAGCCCACCGCATTGCGATGCTCCGAGCCGCCCTTTCCCACTGCCGCCGCCTCCCCACCTCCCTGCCCTCAGCATGGCGGCCCCCGTCAGCGCAGTGCTGGCCAGCAAGTGCCTGAAGGGCAAGCCCGCCACCTTGGCGCGCACCGGGGAGGCCTGCCTGCTGCTGGTCGAGCTGGAGCAGGGGGCGGTGGTGGTGGAGAGCGTGCTCAAGGCCTTCTCGGACAAAGTGCCTAAGGTGGTGCTGGCGGCGGTGGACATCATCCTGCAGGCCGTCAGGTGGGTGCACGCGGCGCAGCCGGGAGGGCCCCAGGGGGTGGCGGCACAGCGTGGGGGCCAGCGGCAGGGCTGGCTGGGCGGTGGCGGGCACGCGTGCGGCGTGCGTGGGAGCGAGCGTGGTGGTACCCTGGCGCCGGCCTGCTTGAGCCCCAACCGTGACACCTGGATCCGCGCCGCCCCTGCCCCGGCTGCGCCTGCCGCCTTCTGTCCGCCCCGTGCTGAGCCCTGCGCGGCCGGCCGCGCGCGTTCCGCTCGCTCGCGCCGCCTGCAGCTGCTTTGGCGCGAAGGTGCTGGACCCCAAGCCCATCATCAAGTCGCTGCCGCCGCTGTTCGGTCACACCCAGGCGGGGGTGCGTGACAAGGCCAAGGAGGCGTCGGTGGCGCTGGCGGCGTACCTGGGGCAGGGCGTGGTGGCAGGGGTGCTGCTGGACAAGATGCCGGCGGCGATGCGCAAGGATGTGGATGCCGCCATCGCGGAGCTGCCCCCCGGCAAGCGGCAGCCCAGCCGGTTCACGCGGCGCGAGGCCGCGGAGCGCGCGGCGCGGGAGCCCGAGGCGGAGGCGTTGGAGGTGGACGGCGGCGAGGGCGCGGCCGGCGGCGGCGGCGACGCGGCGGCGGACGAGGAGCCGGTGCGGCTGGCTGGCTGGGGCAAGGAGGGGGGCCGTGCAGCATGGCCACGGGGAGGCCAGCCATCGCCATGCATGGGCCGCAGAGCCTCGCACGGCGCGCTTCGCATGGCGGCGCGCCCCCCGCCATCTCGGGGGTCACCCGGCGGCACTTGGCGCCGCGGCCGGCGCCGCACCCTGCTGCCCCCTCCTCCCTCGCGACGCGACCGCCCCCGCTGCCGCCCGCACTCCCCCCTGCAGGAGGGAGACCCTTATGAGTTTGCCAGCCCCGTGGACATCCTGGGCCCGCTGGCCAAGGCGCAGTGTGTGGTGGACGACGACCCGCCGGTGGCCTTCTGGGAGGCGCTGGACGCCAAGAAGTGGGGGCTGCGCAAGGTGGGGCGCCGTGTGCGTGGGTGTGGTGGCGTGGTGCTTTGTTGGTGCTTGCTTGGTGTGGCGTGTGCATGGGTGTGGTGTGGTGTGGTGCATTGTTGGTGCTCGCTTGGTTCGTTGTGTGCATGGGTGTGGTGGTACAGTGTTTGCGTGGTGCTTGCGTGGTTGTGAGGCAGCAGGAGGCCGTCGCAGGAGCCTGTGATGCGCCGATGGAGCTGTGCCTGGCGGCTGTGGCTGGCGCTGCTGCCACACACGCCCTGCCCTCCCCTGCCCTGCACCACCTGCCACCCTGCCATGCCAACTGTCGCTCCCCCGCTCCCGCTCCTGCCCCTCCTCTTCTCAGGCCGCGCTAGACAGGGTGAAGGAGCTAGGCAGCACGCCGCGGCTGGCGCCCGGCGACTACGGCGACCTGGTGCGTGTGCTGAAGAAGGTGCTGCAGAAGGACAGCATCATCCCCGTGGCGGCGGCCGCCGCCGACGTGGCCGCCGTGCTGGCCTCGGGGCTGCGCGACGCCTTCGCCTCCCACGCCAGGGTGCGTTGGCTGTGGTGGTGCTGCTGGTGTGGTGGAACCCAGGCTTGCATTTGCCTCCCGACCCTCCTGTTTGATTCTGCCACCTGTTTGGTGCGTGGCTTGCCGGTGCTGCCACCTGTTGCCCCCCGCGCCCGCTGCCTCCCAACCACGGTGCTCGTGCCGCTGCTGCCTCCTCACCCTTCCTGCCCGCCTGCCCGCTGCCGCAGAGCCTGTGCCCCGCGCTGCTGGAGCGGTTCAAGGAGAAGAACATTGTGATGAGCAAGGCGGCCGAGGAGAGCCTGCGGGTGCTGGCGCAGCACTGCTTCACGCTGGCGGATGTGGCCGAGGATGTGGCGGCGGCGCTGGATCACAAGAACCCAAAAGGTGTGAGCCTGTGTGCGGCGCTGTTGGGTTGGCCATCGCCCTTGAGAGGCGGCGGGGTGGCGGGGCGTGTGCTCCGCCACGCCGCTGCAGCGCCCTCGCCGTGGCGAAGCTTGCTGGCTGCGGCAAAGCGGGCTGTGCTTGTGGCTTCGCCTACACCTGCGCCCCGCGCCGCCCTGACCTGGTCTGCGGCCTGAGCCGGCCTGTGGCCTCACGCCGTGCGGTGGCCTTCTGTGCCTGCTGCCCCTGCTTTGTGCAACAGTCAAGCGCGAGACGGCCAAGCTGGTGAAGGACGTGTTGGAGGCCACCCCCAAGGCCGTAGTGCTCAAGCTGCGGGACTCTGTACTGCCCGCCTGCGCCAAGCTGGCAGAGGCGGGGGACAGCGAGGTCCGCGAGGCGGGGCAGGCGGCCATGGTGGCGTTTGCGGTGCGGGCGGGCAGCATGGGCATCCTGGACAAGGTGGGCCGGCGTGCTGAGGTGGCACGGCATGCTGCGCATGCTGTGCTGACGTGGCAGGTCGTGCTGTGGCAGCCGCGCGGGCCTGCGATGCACTGAGCCTGGCCCGGGCGGGGTGTGGCCAGCCCAGGTGGCGCACCTGAGCTGCCTGGGCTGCAGGCCCCTGGCACGCTTGGGTGGTTGCTACTGGGCTCCTTTTTTCTGCCCCTCATCCTGCTGCCGTGACTGCCCCTCCTCCTGCCACTCAGGCCATGGAGAAGCTGGATGACGTGCGGAAGAAGAAGATAGAAGAGATGGTGAATGAGGCCATCGCCAAGGGAGGTGGCGGCGGGGGAGGCGGCGGCGCCACCGCGGCACGCGCGCCGCCCTCCCGCACAACCTCTTCGGCCTCTGGCGCCGGCGCCTCGGGATCTCGCCCCGGCACCGCCCGCAGCAGCCCCAAGGCGCTCGCTCCCAAGAACGGCGTGCGCCCCGGCGCGGCCGCGGGGCCCAAGGCAGGCGCCGCGACGCGGCGTGGCGGCGCGGGCGGTGCCGGCGCGGCCAAGGGGCGCGCGGGTGGCGGCGGCGGCGGCGGGGCTGCGCCTGCTGCCGAGGAGGACCTTTCCTCTGGCAAGCTGTCGCCGGAGGAGCTGGAGGAGCGGATGGTGGAGATGTTTGGGGGCGAGACGGGTGGGTTGGGTGGCTGGGAGGGCGGCGGCTGGGCAGCGAGAGCGTGGCGGCGGGCCGGCCGGTGGTTGCCTTTGCTGCATCGCCTGCCACAGGTGCTCACCCTATCTTTGGTTTCGCATGTGGCAGTTGAAGCCTGCGTGCCCTGGCAACCCCCTCCCTGCTTCCTCCATGCCGCAGTCGAGCTGCTGCGCAGCGCCAAGTGGCAGGAGCGGGTGGAGGCGATGGGGGTCGTGCTGGGCAGGGTGCAGGAGCTGGGGGACCCCGGCCAGCGCTGCTTCACCCTGGTGCAGTGCGTGGCCTTCCTGCCCGGCTGGGGCGACAAGAACTTCCAGGCAGGTGGCGGCGCCGGGGTAGCGCAGGGTGGCGGTGGCTCTGGATGTGTGGTTAAGAAGCGGTGCAGCGGGCGGGAATGGCAGTGCGGGGGCACACTCCCTGCAAGTACCTGTGCGCTGCCTCCCCACCGCCGCACTGCTGCTGTCCCGCTCCCTTGCGCCCCCTCCCATCGCCCACACCCACTCAACCCGCCGAGGAGCAGGCACTCACCTCCTTGCTGCCGGCTCGCTCTCTGCTCTGCCTCCCACACGCCTCCCCGACATATCCCAACCTGTTGAGCAGGTGCTGAACAAGGAGTTTGAGGTGGTGACGCACCTGGCGCGGTGCGCCTCGTCCTTTGGCCGCCGTGACGCCTTCCTGGCGCTGGGCGGCCTGGTGGACAAGATCCACGAGCTGAAGCACAAGTGAGCGGGCGGTGGGCTGGGGCTGGGGATGGCATCGCGGGTGTCCCCAGTTTTTGTGTCCCCAGTGTTTCGGTGCCCCCAGCAACTTGCCACTCTAGGTGTGCCACTTTAGGTGCAGCATGCTACGCCACGGCTGCTGCTGCCTGCCACGGCTCTCACGCGTGCTCCCTGCCGCGCCCCGCCCCGCGCTGCCCTCCCACATGCCCGCAGGATGCAAGTGTGCGAGGCGCTGACTGCCATCTCCGAGGCGGTGGGCCCCCAGTTTGTGATGGCGGAGCTGCACAAGCGGGCTGCCGCCAACAAGAACCCCAAGGTGCGGCGCCCTTCCTTTCTTCCATTCCTGTTTTCATTCCTTTCTTCTTGCTTTGCTTCATGCTGTCTTCTTCCTTTTCCAGGCAGCCTCGTCCCCGGCTGCTCCGTCCCGCCTTCCTGCAAACTTCCCTGCTTGCTTGCGGCTGGCATGCCGTGTGTCGGCGCCGCCATGCACGCCGAGTGCGCCTGCCCACCGACCAGTGCAGCTGTCGAAACATGCGTGCGCAGGTGCTGGCAGAGGCGCTGGGGTGGATGGCGGAGGCGATCCCTGAGTTCGGCCTGGGCATCATGGATGTGAAGGGCATCATCGAGTGGATGAAGGCGGACCTGGGGTCGGCCAACGCGCCAGGTCAGCGTGCATGCCAGGCTGGCGCCAGGCTGGCACAGCTGACGGGGGAAATGGACAGGCGGGAGGCAACTGGGCTGCCGGCCTGCTGGGCTGCACTGCAGTCTTTCCAGTGCGGACTAGGGGGGCAGGGCAGGGCCTGTGCCGTGTGCGCAGAGCGTGCCTTGGCCCTGCCGCCTGCTGCCTTGCGCTGCTCACCCGGTCCCTGCCCTGCTTCTCCCTGCAGTGCGCAACAAGGCGATGGAGGTGCTGGGCAAGTGCCACGCCCAGCTGGGTCCCAGCCTGGTGGACTTTCTGGAGGGGCTGAAGCCTGCGCAGCTGATGGCCCTGGAGGAGCACTTCCGCCAGAACCCCAAGGCAGAGGTGGGCCCCAGGGCGGTTGGGCTGGCCTGGTGAGGCTCTCGGGAACCTGAGTAGCCGCGGTGCAGCCAGGTGTTCCTGTACCAAGTCGACGTGCCCTCCCTGCAAATGAACCACGCCTGCCTGCCTGCCTGCCTGGCCTGCCCCCGGCCTGCAGGTGGTGCCCACCCGCAAGGTGCGGGGCAAGAAGAAGGGCGGCACTGTGGCAGCATCTGACGGCGCCTCTGCAGCTGCCAGTGGGGCGGCCGAGGCCGAGGAGGAGGAGGAGGAGGCGGGGGCTGGCCTCAACCCTGATGACCTCCTGCCCCGCACCGACATCTCACCCAGCATCACGCCCGCCCTGCTGGGCATGATCAGCAGCTCAAACTGGAAAGAACGCAACGCGGGCGTGGACCAGGTGCGGTGGGGGGTGCGGTGCGGTGAGGGCCACGCTGGCTGGCGGCTCTGCTGGGAGCGGAGAGGGGTGGGGGAGAGCTGCATGCAGGCTGCTGCGCCGCTGACCCTGGCGCTGTCTTGCTGGCCCCTCTGTTTCGTGCCTGTGGTCTGCCGCAGGTGTCCCAGCTGCTGGTGGAGGCCAGCCAGCGCATCGAGCCCAGCGTGGGCGAGCTGTTCAATGCCCTCAAGGTGCGGGGGTGCCTGCTGGCCTCCCAGCCTGCCCAGGCAGTGCCGTGGCCCAAGCCAGCTTCCCCTGCCCCAGCCAGCGAGCGTCGACCAGCCTGCTGTGGCAGGGGCCTCCAGCGCTCCCCGCATCTTGCGGTACTCCACTCTCCCCGATGAATCTGCACTGCCCCCCGCGTGCCTTGCCTGCAGGCCCGGCTGGCCGACAGCAACCGCAACCTGGCGGCCAAGGTGCTGCAGCTGCTGGGCGACGTTGCGAGGGCCATGGGGCCGCCCTTTGACAGGGGCGCGCGCCCGCTGCTCTTCCCCGCCGTGGCCAACCTTTCGGACAACAAGAAGCAGGTGGGTGGTGAGGGTGCGGCGCTCTGGGGAGCGGAAAACGCGCTGCCCTGCGCTGTGCTGTGCTGTGCTGTGCTGTGCTGTGCTGTGCTGCGCTGCGCTGCGCTGTGCTGTGCTGTGGAGCAGCACTTCTCTGTGGAGCACCATCTGCGGCTGCTGGCCTCGGATGGCAGCTGCCAGCACTCGGCGCTGTCCCGGCCTCGCCCTATCCCGCTCCCCTTCCCTCCCCTTCCCTCCCCGCTCATTCTCCCGTTCCTTTCTTTTCTTTCTTTATTTCCCCTCGCAGGTGCGGGACGGCGTCCTATACATGCTGGACGCCTGGATCAGCGTGGCCCCTGCTGACAAGCTCTTCCCGGCTGTCGCCGAGGCGGTGGCCAATCCCAAGTGCCTGGTGGACGGCAAGATCGCCGGGCTGCAGTGGTGGGCTGGCTGCGGGGCGGGGCGGGCAGCCCGGAGTTTGGAGTTCGGCACTGCCATGGCAGGCCCCCGCAATGCAGTGATGGCATCTGCTTACCGTCGAAAACGCAAGGCTTGGCCTCCTCTGCTAATGCATCGCCCGCCTGCTGCCGATCCAGCCGCCTCCCTGGCCTGGCCCCGCCCTTCCCGTCTTGCCCCGCAGGCTCACCAAGGTTGTGGGCGAGGGCAAGGGCAGGACCGGCGTGGATTCTGCGCTGAGGGCGGCAGCAGCGGTGGGCATGCAGGACAAGTCCTCCTCCGTGCGGGAGGCGGGGACCGCTCTGCTCACAGAGATGGTTGCCCAGCTGGGGCAGGAGGCGGTGGTGGCGGCCCAGGGGCTGCTGGTCAGCGCAGACCGGAAGGCGGCGCAGGAGGCTCTCAGTAAGGTGCTGGCCGCCGCCGGCGGCGCGGCGGCGCCCGCGGCCGCGGCAGCCGGCGCGGGCGCTGCGCGCCCGGGCAGCGCGGCGGCGGCCAAGGCGCCCGCGGCGCGCGCCGGCGCACGGCCCGCCACCGGCAGGCCCGGCACCAGCGCCGCGGCGCGGGCGCCCGCCGGGGCCGCTGCCGCGGCGGCGGCCGCGGCCGCGGCGGCAGAGCCCGGGGCCGCGATCCTGGCGTTCAGCGACGGCAAGGCGGAGCGGGCTCGCAAGTACCGCCCTCGCCCCGGCAAGTTTGAAGGCGTGGCCCCGGAGGAGGTGGAGGCGCTGCAGCGGGAGCTGGCGGCGGTGGCCTCGCCCCACTGGGCCTCGCTGCTGTTCGACAAGGATTTCAAGCGGCACCTGGAAGCCGCCGAGCAGCTGTTGGCCAACCTGGCGTCGGTACTGGATGAAGTACAGGCCAGCCTGGACCTCATCCTGCGCTGGGCAGTGCTGCGCATCTGCGACGGCAACATGCAGGTGCTGCGGGGGGGTGGGAGAGATGTCTGCCTGCTGCTGAGCAGCACAAGCAGGCGGCGAGGGACCGACCGCCGCACAGCCAATGTCGGCTGCCTGCCGCTCGACCTTGCTCGCAACACCACTCGACTGCCCACACACGCACCCCACATCCCTCCCTCCCTTCCACGCGCTCCTGGCCTCCCTGTGCCCGCCTCCGTGCTCCCCTGCCCCCTGCAGTCGCTGGTCAAGGTTCTGGAGATGTGCCGTGGCATGATGGAGGCGCTGGCGGGTGTGGGGTACCGCATGACAGAATACGAGGCCCTGGTCTTTCTTCCCGCGGTGGTGGAGAAGTCGGGGCACAACCAGGTGGGGCGAGCCAGGACTTTGGCTTCGGGCTGAGGTTGGGGGCTAGGAGGTGCAGGCCTGGTGGCAGGCGGCGGGCAATCGCACACAACCCCATGCCTGGCTCAAGTCTCCCCACACTGGTAGTAACACATGTTTACCACAGGGACTTGTCAGCAGCCGCCCACTCGCCCGCCGCCGGCTGCCCTCCTGCACCGTCCCGCAGGACCGCGTGCGGGCGCTGCACCGTGATGTGCTGCGCCTGGCCTGCAGCCTGCACCCCAGCCACCGCGTGCTGGACTACCTGGCACAGGGGCTGGCCTCCAAGAGCAACCGCACCAAGATAGAGTGCTGCGGTGAGGGAGCAGGGGGAAAGCCAGGTCGGGGGCTCGCTGGCGGGGGCTGCTGGCTGGCGGTTCAGCGGCTGCCGGCGGGCGCAGAGGGAGGTTGTTCTCCATGCAAAGCCAGCGCGGCTGCTTGCTGTTTCCAAGCGAGCGTCCCGCATCCCGCGACTGTGATCTGTGATGTTACAAAGGCAACGCCTATTAATGGGCTGGAGGCCAGAAGCTGTGCCCAGTACCTCTGGGCCGCGACAGCCCACGCCCTCCTCGCCCTCCTAAGCGCCGCCGCCCATGCGCCGCGCCGTGCCCTGCAGAGGAGATTGCGTGCGTCATCGAGCGGGAGGGCATCGCCCCGGTGGCGGCCTCCAAGTGCAAGCCGCTGGTAGCGGTGGCGGGTATGCTTAAGGAGCGGGACGGCGCCACGCGCACGGCGGCGCTGCTGGCGATCGAGGCGGCGTGGGTGGAGGAGGGGGAGGGCGTGTGGAAGCTGCTGGGCAGGTGAGGCGGGCTCCGGCGGCGGGCTGGACGCTCGTCGCGGGCTGGGGCTGGGGCCGAGGTTTGGGGTGGGCTGGGGTGGCGCCCTGGACGTGGCTGGTTCGTTGAATTGGACAGTTTGCCCACCCCCTTTGTTGGTCGGCTTGCTTAGGGTCATTTGATTTCTGGTCGTGCCTGCTTGGCATTCCTGGCTGAGGCCTCACCCACCCCCCACCCCGCACCCCTGCAGGCTGGACTCTCGGGAGGCAGACATGGTGGCGGAGAAGCTCAAGCGCTCCAGCAAGCAGCCCAAGGTGGCGCCCGAGGCGGCCGCGGCGCCGCCGCCGCCCCGCGCCGCGCCCGCGCCCCGCCCCGGCGTGTTTGTGCCTCGCGAGCCCGCTGCCATGGCCGGCGCCGCGGCACTGGGCGGCACTCCCAACGGCGGCTACTATGGTGGTGGCGGGTATGGCGGCAGCGACCAGCCAGAGGCGATGTATGGCGGCGGCCAGCAGCAGGCGTACTCGCAGGCCGGGCAGTACGGCGACGCGACGCTGCAGTACAGCCGCCAGGCCTTCACCCCGCCCGCGGCCCTCGCCACGCCGCTGCCGCCGCGCCCGGCAACTTCAGCGTTCGTGCCGCCGCCCGCGGCGCCATCGGCGGCGCCCACCCCCGTGCCAGGCATGCGGCCCTACACCGCGCCAGGTGCGCCCGCTGCCGCTGCTTCTTTTTGCTTCCACATGCGCCTGTCGCAGCCAGGTTGGGGCAGCAAAGGGAGACGGCCAGGCACGCATGCGTCTTACGGCCTGCCACGAGCCTCCCACAAACAAACTGCTTTCGCCACTCCTCCCTCCCCCTGCACGCATGCCACATCGCCGACTTGCTGTGCCTGTCCCTCCACCTCACATCCACCCTTTCCCGCTGTCCCTGCCCCCTGCCTGCCCGGCAGGCGCCGGCGCCACGCCGCCGCCCGCGGCGCTCGTGGACGACGCCGAGTTTGATGCTCGGTGGGGCGCCAGCCTGGCGGGCGTGGCCAGCGCTGACGTGGAGGAGGCTGTGGAGCACATGAAGGTCATGTGCGGCGACATCATGCTGTGCCTCCAAGGCGTGGCCACGCCACACATGCTGGCGGTCATGGCCCAGACAGCCGACCAGCTGTTTGCCACCGTCAACGCGCAGCTGCTGCGCGTGTTTGCGGCGGCGGAGGCGGCGGGCGCGGCGGGCGGCGGCCAGCCGCCCTCCCGCGGCGCCAAGTACGCGCTCAACGTGATGCTGCAGGGCCTCAACGTGCCCGCCATCGCCGCGGGGCTTGCGCAGGTGCGGCGGGCGAGGCGGCAGGGCCTGGCACAGGCAGCTTGCGGGCGGGCAGGCAGGCAGGCAGGCAGGCAGGCGCGTGAGCTGCCGAGGCGTGGCCGCGCCTCAGCAGCAGCAGCCGCACGACTACTCCCGCTGCTCTCTGTGTGTGGCTGAGCTGCGCAAGCTGCCCTGCCGGCCGCCTCGGCCCGCGACCCGTGCCTCCCCGTCTCCCCCTGCCCTCAGGCCACCCTGCGGGACTCGATCTCCCTGCTGCTGCTGCGCCTGCTGGACGACAAGGGGCTGCTGCACTTTGAGGAGGGCGCCACCCTGGTGAAGGCGGTCAATGTGCTGATGCTGAAGATACTGGAGACCAGGTGTGGCCAGGCGCTGCAACATGTGTGGTGGAGCCGGCTGCTGGCCGAAGGGAGAAGGGGAGGGGAAAAGGCAGAGGGCAGCGGGGGTGGGCTGGCCATGGCTGGCGCTGAGGGTGGGGATGCTGGAGGCCAGGCGGGCGTGTGTGCGTGGTTCCTGCGGCGCCTGCGGGCTGGGGCTGTGGTGGGGATGCGGGGAGAGGGGAAGGGGAGGGCGGTGGAGGGGTGTGGCCTGGCCTGGCCAAGTGGGCGCGGCCGGCCCGGCTGTCGCTGCCTTGGCTGGGTGGCCAGCGGGCGGCAGGCGCTCCTTGTTGCACCACTTCACCCTCCCTGCTCTGCACACTCACCCACCCACATCATCCCCGCCACACCCCATCCCACCCTGCGTGCTCCCCTCACCTCCCTGCCTGCCCCCTCCCCACCTCCCTCACCTCCCCGCCTGCCCCTCCCACCTCCCTCCCTCCC